AGGGGCCGCGAGCAGCTCCGTCGGGGTCGGAGGGCCGCCGGGTGCACGTCCGGCCCGCGCGCCGCCGGCATGGACCTCTGGCCATGGCTGAGCGCAGCGCTGCTGCTGCTGCTGCTGCTCGTGCAGCTGAGCCGCTCCGCCAAGTTCTACGCCAAGATCAGCCTGTACTGCGCGCTCTGCGTCGGCGTTTCCATCGTGGCCTCGGTGATCTGCCTGCTGCGCCACGGCGGCCGCACCGTGGAGAACATGAGGCGAGGCCACGCGGGGGCCCTGGCGTCGGGGACTCGGGTGTTGGGGGGGCGCCGGGCGGGCGGGGAAGCGTTGGGCAGAGGGGGGCGGAGCGCCGGGCGGGAGTGGGGGCGGCGACGGGCCGCCGCGGCCGCCGGTTTCCGCTTCCCTAACTTTCTTGTCCCCTTTCTCTCCTTCCTGCCCCGCCCGCCCGCCCCTTCTGAGCTCTGGCGGCGGGGAGGGGGGGCGCGGCTGGGGAGAGAGCCGGGTCGGGCAGGGTCCCCGCGAGCCCGCGTCACAATGACCCCGCGCCCTTGCCCCGAGGCCCGGCCGGGGCAGACACAGGGGTTTAGATGGGGCTCGGCCTCGGCGCCGCCGCCGCGTCCCTGCGCCTGCCTTGGGCATGCGGGGTGCTGGGCGGCTAGGTTCCGGGCAGCTTTGCAAGAGAAAAGGGCTGGGCCGAGCTGGGAGAGGCTTGCTCCTGCTTCCCGGGGTGGGGGGCCTGTCCTGACCTCCGACGGGTCGGGGGTGCGCCGGGCATTGGGATTCCCCTCCTGCCCACCGCCAGGTGATGGATGCGCCTGGGCCCTGCCCCGCCGGAAGGGTGCTCTGTTGGTTCCTAAGTCGTGTGAGGAAGGTGGAGGGCTCCTAGAGGAGCTGCGTCCCTTCTGGGGAGTGGGGGGTTGGCCCTTGGGGTCCAGCTTCCAAGCAAGGGGAGGGAAAGGGGTGTGGTTGGAATTTTTCTCTGATCCCCACCCCCAGCTCGGCGTTGCCAGGCTGGGTGGTGGGGTTAGGCAGTGCTGACCAGACCCAGACAGGGGGTGGGACGCTGCCTGAGACGTTTCTAGATGCTGTCTGTCCCTGAGGGCTGTTTCTACATCCGTGACCCGTTTGGACGGCCTGTCTGGTGGCTTTTGCAATGGCCTGGTGGCCGAGGCCTAGCGTGTGGGACATCACGGTCCTTGAGGCCCCACTGCCCAGTGTGGTTTGATGCAGTGGTTTTCTGGGCTCTCCGCCATCTCTGCCCCAGCCTGCTGGGTGGGCTGCTGCCCAGGCCTCCTAGGCCCCAGGCCGTCTTCTGGGGCGCATAGAAGGCCGGGGTGTAAGAGGGACAATGGTGCTCCAGTAGAGGGTGGTCATGAGGAGGAGACAGAGGGCCCAGGTGGAGGGCTGGAGGGAGGGCTGTTCTGAGAAAGAGTTACCAAGGGCAGGCCTCGGGCACCCAGGGCAGGGCCTGGCTCAGGGCCTCGCAGGCAGGGGGCTCGCTGCAGGGACCTCAGCTCAGCCCCGCCTGCGCTGGACCCCAGAAGCCGGCAGCTTCCGAGCAGAAAGGGCAGGGCAGCTTTCTGTGGGGTGAGACTAGTGGGCTCCTTGGAGAGGGTTCTGAGACCCGCAGGGACCCCTGGGGTGTCCTGGGGTACCGGCAGGGAACTGGGCCCTGTGTGGGGCAGGCCCAGTAGTGACAGGTTTGTCTGGGAGCTGACCCCGCCTCTGCTCTGTGTCCTCTCATTGGTGGCCTGTTTACAAGCAACTCCTGTCTTTACAAGCCCTGACTCACTCTCCCAGGCTGCCCTGGACTTTAAAGCTGACTCCCAGGCCGGGGTCACAAATCAGGAGCCACCCCTTCTGATGTGGTGGCGGGGGGCGGGGGGGGAGGAGGCGGTGACTCCTCTCCTCTCCTGCCCACCCCAAGCTGTCCAGGGCTGGCCTTGGGGCCGCCCACCTCCGTCTGGCCTGGAAGCAGTCTCAGCCCCCAGCCTCATCTTGATTCGGGCCAACGAGGCCATTCTCCTGGAGACCCTGAAGGCTCCGGGGAGCGTGATGGAATTTGCTGACACTTTCCTGTCCCCAGGGGAGTGCCCAGATTCAGGTTCTTCAAAGGGGCCACTGCCAGGGACTCTGATGGGGTAACAGAAGGTGCTTTGTTCCTGCTGAGACGCTGGGCCCCCAGGGAGGAGGGAGGGTTGGTGGGTGGGGCTGTCTGGGAGGCACCTTCCTTCACCCCTGGGGCCCCTGCCTCGCCAGGTCCCACAGTGTCACCTGAGGGCTGCCAAGACTCACTCCCCGAGGGTGGGTAAGAGTGGATGGTAAGGAAGGCTGAGTGGGGGGGGGGGCACTGAGTGGAGGGGGTGACTGGAGAGAGGTCAGAAATGCAAGCGAATGAGGAGGTGCTGCTGCGTCTCTGGGCAGCTGGTTGGAGAGGACCCTGGAGGATGGGGGAGGAAGGGAGGGGCCGAGTGGCAGGCCCCTGCCCCCTCCTTCAGGCCCCTCCTAGGCCGGGACGGGCCAGGTCTTCACCAGCGTGTCCTGGACCCCTGGGCACCCGGGTGCCCAGCTCCCCTCATCGCCTCCAGTCCCGCCCTGACTTCCGGAAAAGAACCTGCCCCGCATCTTCGGTGCCGCTGTCCTGCCTTCTATCTCTTGAGCACCCGCTGTGCGCCACAGACATCTCACAACCTTGGGAATGAGGATGGCTCCCTGCTCCAGTTTACAGAGGAAGAGACTGAGGTTCAGAGAAGCAGCTTCAAACTAAGGCCTCTGGGCAGGGGAGGAGGGATTGCCCAGAGGCCAGAGGTGGGACATGAGGGAGTGATTCCAGAGTCCCTGCTTTGCATTTTCTTCTGTGCCCACCCCACTGCCGGGGTAGGGGCCAGACTTTGGGGAAAGGCTGGAGCTCCTCCAGGCAGACTCCCAGAAGAGGACTTTCCCGTGTGGCCTGGAGCTCTGGGTATGCAGGGAACAGTGATGGGAATAGAAGGGCCAAGGGCAGCCTGCTTGGAGGGGGCTCGGGCTGGGACTGAGGACCCCCCTAGGCTGGTGGTATCCACTGAGGCCTCCCCTGCGTGCAAGGCTGGGGGTAACCAGGGGCCTGTTTCTCCTCCTGGGAGGCAGGTGCCGTCTGACAACCATTTGACAGAGAGGAAGGTTAAGCTGTGTGCATTAGAGCTGGACTCAGCTGCAGGTTTCAGAAAACCCTAGTAACAGTGGCTTAACCGAGAGAGAGGTTTGTTTTTCTCGTGCATCAGAGGAGACCACCTTGGGGCTGTAGAGTGTCCCAGCCCCTCTGTCCTGTGGCTCCGCCATTCTCAGGGTCCAGGAGGCCACCATTGTGGTCACATTCTAGCCACTAGGGTCAGATGGGGACGTCTTCTGCTTCCGTCCTAATGGCCAGCACCTAGTTGTCATAGCAACTCGTAGCTGCAAGGGAGGCTGGAAAGTGAAGTGCTCCTTTGGGGAGTAAATGCCCGAGCTCAGAGCTGTCCACGTCAATCAGGGCTCAAACCTAGAACTGCTCAGCCTCTTAGAGCTGCCGGGCTGCATCCAGGCCTGGCCCTGGGTGGATGGCTGGGTGGGGACTGTGCAGTCAGGGAGGCTCGGCCCCAGCCCACATCACTGCCCAGCCAGTGGGGGGCTGGCCTGGGGCCTGGGCTCGCAGGGAAGCACCCTATTCTGCTAGGGGCCAGTCTCTCTTCCACAGAGAGGAGCCCTGGGGGCAGCTGTCCTGCTCATTAGTGAGCGGGTGGGAGAAGCCCCTGGCCATCTGGTCTCCAGCTCCCGAGGCCCCACCGTCCTCTTCCAACCCCCTTCTCCTGGTGCCCCTCCAGTCCCTGCAACCCCCCTTTTTAACGACTCCAGGTGTTAGCGTAGGCTGGGACGCCCCCCACAGCCCCGTGCCCCTTCTTTGTAACCCAACTTTGGGTGACACTTATCAGAAACTCCCCTGGGGCACTGGGTGACCTCATCCCCTGAGCCCTGCTCGGTGGCCTGTGCACAGCCTTTCCACCAGGGCCTCCGTCTCTGGGCTGGCCTCCCCATGGGGTCTGGCCAAGGACAGGCCAGCTTCAGCCCTACACGGCTGCCCAGGTCCCCAGGGAGCGGCCCCACCTGGGAGCAAGACCCCAGGGCAAGGGTCAGCGTGTGGCTGTGAGGGGAGGTGGGCAGCTGGGCCGCGGCCTGGACACTGGCCTTGACCCGTCTCCCACTGCCTGGAACAGGTGCTGGCTGGGAGGGGTGGGCCGCCACACTGAGGGGTCACTGGCTTTAACTCACTCTGCGTTCTTGCGTTATCGGCACCATAGCCACTGTCTGCGGGAGCTGGGTGCTCCAGGGCTCCCAGCCTGGTCACGTTAACTCTCCACATCCCCACTTCACGGACAGGAAGTGGCCACTTAGGGAGGCCTTGCGCCCTGCCCAGGATCACGAGGCCAGCACAAAGGAGCCAAGGTCTGTGCGCCCCAAAGGCAAAGCACCTGGGGCCAAGCTCCAAGGGTTCACAGCGTCTTGACCTTTTGTGGCGCTCAGTCCCAGGCCGGTGGTTCTGATCCGAGTCCTGAGAGTGAGAAGGCCCAAGTAGGGTGAGGACACCTCCCACCCCCACCCCCCGCTTCGGGGAGCCGGTGGCCCCTGCAGGGGCTGGGAAAGGGCCCCTCCTGGTCTGGCCTCTGGCACAGTCAGCAGTGCCCACATAGTGCAAGGCCGGGCACTCCACCCATCCCTGGGCCATCTGGGCTCCAGGCCCCCTGCTGGTGCTACAGTGCTGGGGAGGCCAGGAGCCCGGGCCTGGAGGTGGCCAGAGCAGTGAGCCCTGGGCCCCCACCAGTGACACCTGGCCCAATTTTGGGGCCCTAGCCCCTTTGCAGGAAGGAATGGGGCAGCCCCTCACCACCTCAGGTGGATGGGGAGGGGGTCTGTCCAATTTGAGCTTTCTACTGGAAAAGGCCAGAGCCAACTTCTCAGACCTGCTGGGAGTTGGGGGGAGGGGGCTTTAGAGGCCCCAGGGAGGTCTCAGGACACCCCTCTGGCAATTCCATCTGCGGTTCTGAGCACTTGGGAGGAGGAAGCCTGGGGACCCATCAGCATGTCCTCTGGCAGGCATTGTTCACAGGCTCATAAGTGGGGTTAAGGGCGAGAGCCTGGCCGCCTCGCTGTGTGACCTCGGGCAAGCCACTCAACCTTGCAGAGCCTTGCTGCTTCCTGTCTGGTCTGTGAAATGGGTGTAATAAGTGGGTTCACCTGAAGAAAAGGAGCCGATTCCCGCCAAGCCCGCGGCGCAGTACTTGGCCAGAGCTGAGCGTTCATCAGGCGCCAGGCACGACACTGGTGGCATCACCATAGCCACCTCCTCAGAGGCACGCTTGCCAGCGCCAGGACCCCAGCGCGGTGCCTGGCACACACGGCGCCTCTACAGGGGGTGGTCTGCTTCCTTCCTCTTTGAGGAAACATTTCCACAATGATACCTACTTTCCACTTTTACACCCAAACTGCAGAATGCGGGACACTAAGAGAGGAGGATGCAGCACCCCGTGGTCCTGCGGCAGAAGATGATTTCTCACGCCTGAGTCCAGTTCCCCTGTCCCCTGCCCCTTTTTTCTTAGCCCGTTGATTGCATGATTGCACCAGCCACCACATGGAGCCTGGGCTTGGCCAGTTTACCTGAACTGAATTGTAAATGCGCAGAGAGCGCCACCCTGGGATCCTCAGTCTCCTCCAGCTCCTGTCACCTGGACCCACTCCTGGTGGTCCGGACTTTGTCTGTCTCTCTGTCCATCAGGGGAGGCCTGGGCTCACCACTGGGGAAGAAGCCGGGAGCAGGCGCTGCTGGGTGCAGTTTCTACACAGTATCTTTCACAGATGAAAATGTTACAGTATAGCAAAGGTGCCAGGAATCTAGGAAACTTGGAAAGGCTGCTGAGAGAGTGCAGGGGGAGAGAGGAGAGGGAAGAGGGAGACAGGGAGGGAAAGGGGAGGGGGAGAGAAGGAGAGAGAAGGGAGGAGGGAAGGGAGAGGGAGAGAGGGAGCTACGCACATCTCAGGATGCAGCCGAGATTCTTCCCCATGCGGATATTTGTGGGAATGCCAAAGAGAGTTTTTGTAGTTACCATTATAACTAGCATATTATACCTGTGGTATGCAGATGACATAAACTTGCTTGCTGAAAGTGAAGAGGTCTTGAAGCACTCCCTGATGAAGATCAAAGACGACAGCCTTCAGTATGGATTACACCTCAACATAAATAAAAATCCTCACAACTGGACCAATAAGCGACATCATGATAAATGGAGAAAAGAGTGAAATTGTCAAGAATTTCATTTTACTTGAATCCATAATCAAGGCCCATGGAAGCAGCAATCAAGAAATCAAATGACCTATTGCATTGGACAGATCTGCTGCAAAAGACCTCTTTAAGGTATTGAAAAGGAAAGATGTCACTTTGAGGACCCTAACATGTTCCGACCCAAGCCATGGTGTTTTCAATCGCCTCATACGCATGCAAAAGCTAAACAATAAGGACGAACGAAGAAGAATTGGTGTCTTTGAATTATGGCGTTGGTGAAGAATAGTGAATATACTATGGACTGCCAGAAAAACGAACAAATCTGTCTTAGAAGAACAGCCAGAGTGCTCCTTAGAAGCAAGGATGGTGAGATTACGTCTCATATACTTTGGACGTGTTATCAGGAGGGATCAGTCCCTGGAAGAGGACATCATGCTTGGTAAAATAGAGGGTCAGTGAAAAAGAGGAAGACCCTCGACAAGATGGGCTGACACAGTGGCTGCAACAATGGGCTCAAATACAGCAAGGACTGTGAGGATGGCGCAGGGCCGGGGAGTGTTTCCTTCTGTTCTACACAGGGTCGCTGTGAGTCGGAACCGACTCGACGGCACCTAACAACAACATCATTAAATAAAAAAAGAAAGCCCTTTGCAGTGCGTAAAATGTAAACCATCATCCTTGTTCTAGTCTGCTGTGTTGTGGGCTGTGCAATGAGCCCTGAATTGTATCACTGCTCCCTAATGGGGGCATTGAGGGGGCCGCAGGCTTTCCTTCCTCTGCCCACAGCCAATGTCTCCAGACTGCCTTCGGGTAAATTCTTGGAGACTGAGTACAGAGACCAAAGGGATCAGGCTTTCTGAGGGCTTTTGCTGAGCTGCCACCCTGCCCGCCGGGAACGAGGAACACAGGCAGTGTGGCCTCACTCCTGCCAGCAGCTCCCGGGGCCTCTTCCAGCCGGCTTGCCATCCGGTGCCAATCTCATGTTGTCAGTCTTTCCGACCTGTGCCAATCTGAAGGAGGAAAAAGGGGCTCGTGTTTCAATTTGCGTTTCTTTGCTTGCTGTTGTTGTTGCTGTCCAGTTGATTCAGACTCGCGGAGACCCCGTGTGTGTGTGTGTGTGTGTGTGTGTGTGTGTGTGTGTGTGAGTCAAAGTGCTCCACAGGGTTTTCGAGGCTGTGACTGTTTGAGAGCAGATCGCCAGGCCTGTCTTCCGAGGCTGTTCTGGGTGGGTTCGAACCACCAACTTTTTGGCTCGTAGTCGAGCGCTTAACTGTTTGCGCCACCCGGGGATTCCCCTGATTGTTAGCGAGGTTGATTGTGTCCTAGCTCACTGGACATTTGCGTTTGTATGTGTGTGCTTGTGTGTGCGTGAGCGCGTGCTTATGCGTGTGTGCGTGTGTGTGCACGTGTGTGCATATGTGTGCGTGTGTGTGCATGCATGTGTGCATTGCCTGCTTCTGACCTTTCCTGTCTCCTTTAATCCTCACCACCACCCCAGAAACCAGCAAGTCCTCAGGTGAGGGCGCCCAGTGGGCCGAGGCTGGGACATCTGAGGAGGAGATCCCTGGCTTCCAGATCCAGGGAGGGATGGGCAGCCTCATCCTTAGAGCAGCCCCGAGCCTCAGTTTGCCTGCCTGCAAGATGAGGTAATGAGAGTTGCCCTTTCTGCCCCAGCGTGAGTCCTGTGAGAGGCATGGCTGGTTCAGGGTGGCTTTGAGTCCAGGACGCAGCTTTGACTCTGCTGTTTCGAGCTAGCTCTGTGACCTGGGGCAAGTTACATGATCTCTTCTGTACAGAGGGGAGGAAGGGACCAGTTCCAGGGTTAGGAGCCTCCAGGGCAGTGGCTGGTACATCCTGACCCCTCCGCCACCCACAGGGGATCAGAAGGACTCAGGGTCCCCACAGGAGCTCCTGAAGAGCGAGCATGCATCTCAGGGCTGTGGCCCCCCCGTTAACGGGCAGATGTGCCGTCCCGGGTGTGAGCAAGGCTTCCCTTGGCAGAGCAGGACGGTGGCCAGCCTTTCTGTCTGCATCCACCTGCCTCCTCCGTCCCTGGCCAGCCGCCTGAACTGGGCATGAGACTTGACAGTCCCCGTGGATGTACCTGGGCGCCCCCATTGTGTGCGGCTTTGAGGAGCCAGTCTCATGTTCACGCGTGTCCGGGTGATTTGCCACCCGCGGGGGCAGGGGCTACAAGGGGTGGACGGAACATGGGCTTCTGAGCCTGGTTTCCTGGACCACGTCCTGCCTCTGTGACTTGGTGTGACTGCGGGCAGGCCACATAGCCTTTCCAGGCCAAGTGTGTCATCTGTGAAATGGGAACACCAGGGCGAATCTTAGGGCCGCAGTGAGGAGAGAAAGCGGTGACGCTGCCGGAGCCCCCGGGAAGCTCGCCCCTCGCTCCTGACGTGATCTCCCCGGCTCGCACGGCCTCAAGGGGACGGTCACTTCCCCTTTCTTCAGGTCTGGCCCCCTGGGTGGGGTCCTTCAGTCCAACACAGCTCAGCTCTGGGCTCCCAGAGTCTCCCCTACCCCGCCCCCCACCGCCAGCCTTCTGTGCACTGTGTCCCCCTCTGGGTCCCAGAATTTGCTGCTGGGCGTGCCTCTCTGGGAGGGGCCGAGAGAGTGAGGGTGTGGGGGGCACCAAGCGGCAGACCATTGAAAAGCAGACTGGGAGGTAGACCCCTTCCCTTTGGGAAGCTCAGTCCTCGAGGCTTTCCCTCCCTCCCTCTGGGGGGCCAGGCAGGCGCTCCTGATCCCAGTCTATGGACGCGGAGGGGAGGGCTGGTTCAGGGTCAGGCAGCCAACCACGAGTGGGGCTCAACCTGTGGATGAGGGTCCCGGGGCTGCCGGGACAAAGCGCCACACCTGGGGGGCTTAAGACGACAGGAATGGAATGCATCCTCTTGGAGTTCTGGAGGCCTCGCAAATCAGGGTATTTCCAGGGCCTCACTCCCTCCGGAGGCTCTGGGGGAGGATCCTGCCTTGCTCTTCAGCTTCTGGTGGTTCCCGACCTTCCTGGTGGTCTCTGCCTCCACATGGCCTTCTCCCTGCATCTGTCTTCCTTTTATAAGGACGCCAGTTGGTGGATGGAGAGCCCTCCCTAACCCACTGTGATCATATCCCCATTGCACGTGCAGAGACCCTGTTTCTGGGTTGGGATGTGGACAGATCTTTTGGGGGACACAATTCAACCCATAACAGCCCGGAACCCCAGGTCTGGTCTGGTCTAACAGTGGCTCTGCCCCAGGGGGCACCCGCTGCATCTCTCTCGGTCCCTCGTGGGCTCAGACACTCTCCTCGCACCGCGACACCCCCTCCCCAGAGCCCCAGAAGGGCTGTGCTCACTGCTGTCTCCCCTGCAGAATCATCAGCTGGCTCTTGCGCTCCTTCAAGTACATCTATGGTCTGCGCTTTGAGATCCAGGGCCGCGAGAAGCTGGAGGTGGACCGGCCTTGTGTGATCATCTCCAACCACCAGAGCATCCTGGACATGATGGGTGGGCACTTCCGGGGGGTAGAGGTGGGCCTGGATGACACAGGGCAGGAGGCCTAGCCTTCCTCCAGCCCCAGGAATGGGCTAGCCTGGAGCTGGGTACCTCAGGCTGGAAACTGAGGCTCAGAGAGGCTGAATAACTTGCCCTTGCAGCCCTTGGGAAGGTGCGACTTGGGTTGAGCCTCAGGAAGGTGGGCTTCGGGGAGGTGGAGCCAGGGAGGCGGACCCAGGGAGGTGGGCCTCGGGGAGGTGGACCCGGGAAGGGGGGGGAGGTGGAGCTGGGGAGGTGGACGCGGGGAGGTGGCGGGCCAGGGCTCTGAGGCCACCCCCCACCCCCAGGCCTCATGGAGACCCTTCCCAAGCGCTGCGTGCAGATAGCCAAGCGGGAGCTGCTCTTCTGGGGCCCTGTGGGCCTCGTCATGTACCTGGGGGGCGTTTTCTTCATCAACCGGCAGCGCTCCAGCACCGCAGTGACCGTGATGGCGGAAGTGGGCGAGCGCATGGTCAGGGAGAACGTGAGTGCTCGGGCGGCCCAGGCCGTCTGCTCGGCCATGGCACATTCCCGCGGTGTCCTCGTGGTGATCAACCGGTGCCTAGACCCCACCACGCGTGACTTGGCTCTGCCAGAAAGAGCGCGTGAGAGATTCCTGTCTGTGAGCTGCACACTGCACCCAGAGGGGTCTGGATCTGTGCTCCTGTTAGCGAGCGGTGGGCTCACCTGAGAAGGGGGGACAGAGCATGGCCACTGGGGCCGCCCCGTGGGGTGACTGAAGGGCCACTCTCCCCACCTCTCCACAGCTCAAAGTGTGGATCTACCCCGAGGGTACGCGCAACAGCAACGGGGACCTGCTGCCCTTCAAGAAAGGTGCCTTCTACCTGGCCGTCCAGGCCCAGGTACTCAGGCCTCACTCCTGGGGGCAAGGGCAGGGAAGGGGGCCCAAGGTGGCTTAAGGGCTGAAGGTGACCGCCTGGCCAGGCTGGGGACTGACTGCTGGTGTTTAGGGACCCCCTGCCACAGGGCAAGTGACAAGGCCTCACCCGCCCCCCAGCACCTGGTCCCTTTGGGCCCCTCACCCACTCTGAGCCGGAACTGCCACACGGGAGGTGCTCACCTGCTCTGCTTTCTAGCTGGCCAGGGAGTGACCTTCAGGGGGTGGAAGCAGGATGCAAATGTGGGAGGCTGGGGGGTACTCATGGGCTATTTGCCAGTTCCCCCTCTCTCTCCCTCCCTCCTTCTCCCTCTTTCTCCCTCCCCTCCCTCTCCCTCCCTCCCTCCTTCCCTCCCTCTCTCTCCTTCTGCCTTCCTCCCTCTCCCTCTCTCTCCACTCTCCCTCCCTCTTCCTTCCTCCCTCCCATCCCCCCCTCCCTCTCTCTCCCCCCCTCTGTCCCCAGTGCTTCTGTGAAGGCCAGCTAAGTGACCAGTCTGCCAGTAACCTTGGCTGGGCCAGGGCTGGGCTGGGCTGGGCCGGCTGGGGTGCGGGGCAGCTTGGCCAGAGGGAGCTGTGAGCTCCTAGTGGTGGCTCTTCTGGTCTAGGCCTCCAGGGGTGCACTTTGTCCTGGGGTGTCCTGGAGTGGGCAGTGGGGCTGAGATGGGGGTGACTCCTTTTGGGGCAGGTCCTCTGGCGGGTGAAGGGTGCCCTGTCCCACCCGAGGGTGCTCTGAGTAGGGGGAGCAGTGGAGGGGGCTTCCATCCTGCTCCACTGGGGTAGGGGCAGGCCCTGGGTGGGGTGGAAACCTCACCCTGGTCTCTGCTTTTCTCTTGCCTGGGGGGGGCTCTAGCGCCCCCTGGTGCCTGGCCATGTACAAGGCAGGATGAGGCACCCTGGAGGCTGGGTTGCCCCACTAACACCATGGGGATGGGGGGAGCCAGTGGGGGTGGAGTCAACCTGGGCCGGAGGCAGGGATCCTGGTCTCAGACCCCAGCTCTGTCCAAGAAAGTTTCCCTTGCTCTGAGGCTTGAGCCTGGTTCCCCAAGGGTGATGGAACACGTAGCTGGGGGCTGATGTCACTTCTCCCAGAGCGGGCAGTGATGGGGGAGTCCGGGCTGAGAGAGGAGAGAGACAGATGCAGTGGCGGGGTTGGGGGGGCGGGATGAGACTCAGCACTGCCATTTCCTGCCCCTCCCCCCAGAGCCTGCTGGTCTTTCTGCAGGCCCCATCCCCACCCCATCCTGCTGGTGCTGAGGATGGGTTCCCTGACCTGTCCCCAGTTAATGATTACCCCAGGTGACATTGGACATTGGAGTCACTGTTGGACTTGACCCTGGTGTCTCCCAGGGCCTCCGGAAGGCTGGGCCCCCGCCCACGGCTCCAGCTGCCCCTGTGTGGTGAGGATAGGGGCGAGGAGGCTGTCTTAGTCATCATGTGCTGCTGTAACAGAAATACCACAAGTGGGCGGCTTTAACGAACAGAACTTCTATTTTCTCACAGTTGAGGAAACTTGCTTTCTCTCTCTGCCCTGGGTGGGGGAAGGTCTTCGTCTCAGCTCCTCTAGTGTTCTTCTCGGAGTTCCTCAGTTCCTTGGCGTCTGTCCTTCCCCTTTTGTGCGTGCTTCTCTCCCAGCAGCCAGGAGCCCTGGTGGCGCAGTGGTTAAGCACTCGACCGCTAACTGAAAGGTTGGTGGTTCAAGCTCACCAGTAGCTCTGCAGCAGAAAGATGTGGCAGTCTGCTTCGGTAAAGATTACAGCCTTGGAAACCCTGTGGGGAAGTTCTACACTGCCCTATAGGATCGTTGAGTCAGAATCAACTCTATAGCAAAGGTTTGGTGGTTGGGTTTGGTCTCTCCAGCCTAACCCCCTTTTATATTTCAAAAGTGATTACATGCAGACACACCTACACCAATACGACCTCATTAACATAATAAAGAGTACCCTATTCCCAAATGGGATTACATCCACAGGCACAGTGGCCAGGATTCTAACACAGGTTTTGGGGGGACACAACGCACTTCATAACAGATGGGGAAGGGGGATGGGCAGGGAACACCTAGGTAACCTCCTCCAGCTGAACCAGATCGGCCCTCCACCCTGAGGGGTTACAGAGGGGAACCACAGACCCCACGTGCTAGCACAGGTGAAGGCCGGGAAGCCTTCCTGGAGGAGGCAGTGCTGAGCAGAGATGTGCAGGATGAGCTCCGTACGTGGGCCCCCCGGGGACAGGAGGGATGTCCCTCCTCTAAGGGCTCTGCATGCCTGTCTGCAGCCATGGGGACTCCCGGGACCTCTCCAGTGCTGTGGGGGGCCCCAAGGTGGGGCTCCCCCGACAAGCTCTTTCTTGCCATCAGGGAGGGCTGGGGGTGCCCTGCCAGTCCCGAGGGCTGCCCAGGTTCCTGTCCTCCTGCCCACAGGTGCCCATCATTCCCGTGGTCTACTCCTCCTACTCCTCCTTCTACAACCTCGAGACAAAACTCTTCACCTCAGGTACACCTGCCCCCCTGTGTGTGCACGCAAGTCCATAGGGGCCCCTGATGTGGTAGTTTTCACTTCTTGTGGGTACTAAGGGCCTGAGCTCTGCCACACACTGCCCATTGGCAGGGGCAGGGGGCGAGTGGATGAATGAATGGCTAGATGGGTGGGTAGGTGGACGGACAGATGGGTGGGTGAATGGACAGATGGGTGAGTGGGTAGGTGGACAGACAGATGGGTGGGTGGATGGAAGGACACAGATGGGTGGGTGGATGGACAGATAGATCAGTGGGTAGGTGGATGGACAGATGGGTGGGTAGACGGACAGATGGGTGGGTGGACGGACAGATGGATGGGTAGGTGGATAGATGGGTGGGTAGGTGGATGGACAGATGGGTGGGTGGATGGACAGATGGGTGGATAGGTGGATAGATGGGTGGGTGGATGGAAAGACGGACAGATGGGTGGGTGGATGGATAGATGGGTGGGTGGGTAGGTGGACAGACAGATGGGTAGGTAGATGGATAGATGGGTGGGTGGATGGAAAGACAGACAGATGAGTGGGTAGATGGGTGGATGGATGGAAAGACAGATGGGTGGGTAGATGGATAGATGGGTGGGTGGATGGAAAGATGGACAGATGGGTGGGTGGGTAGATGGGTGGAGAATCCCAGCCATGGGCCATGCCCCCCCACCTCATTAACTCTTCTCAGTGGCCCTGCAAAGTGGGTGGTGTTAGCCCCGTTTTTCAGATGAGGAAACTGAGGCTCCAAAAGGGGGCAGGGCAGGTTCACACAGATTTGTGGAGGGTGACTCTCAGCTGCTGCGGCCACACCTGTCTCCCCAGGTATGGGTGGTGGAGCCAGGGCAGCCCAGCAGTAGGCACCTCCAGATATCTTGGCACCCATTGGCCACGGAGCTTAGGGCCTCTGTCCCTCCCCTCCAAGCACCAGGTTCCAGGTGGGGTGCCCTGATTCTGTCCATGGGCACCTGGCCCGCAGGTGGGAAGGTGGAGTTGGAAGTCGCAGGGCAACCAAGCTCTGTCTCCCCCACATCTGGACCCACTGGGGAGGACAGAAGTCCAGTGGAGGGGTGGGGGTGACCAGGGAGGGGTACAAGCTGACTTTGTGGGGGCGGGAATGTTCTCTATTGTGGGTAGTGGTGACAGGGGTGTACACCAGTGTCGAAACCCTCGTATATAAATTACACCCCTGTTAAAACAAAGCAAGACCAGGCAGGCTGCGGCGTCCACGGGGAAGCATAGTCTTCCCAGGAAGGCCCAGCGGTGGGCCCGGGGGATGGGTCCAGCTGACGCCTGCCCCCTCACAGGAACAATCAAGGTGGAGGTGCTGGACGCTGTCCCCACCACTGGCCTCACCACAGCCGACATCCCCAAGCTCGTGGACACCTGCCACCAGAACATGAGGAGTACCTTCTTCCATGTGTCCAAGATGCCCCAGGAGAACAGGGCCAGCGGGGTGTCACGAGCCCTCCCAGCCCAGTAGCCAAGGCCATGGCTGCGGGCGGGCAGGACGGGTGGGGGCTGGCCAGATGATGGACAGGGGACCCCCAGGCTGCCAAATACCACCGTCTGCTCCCTAGCTCGTGGTCGTCATTCTGGCCTTGGGCGTGGGGTGGCCCCTCCTGTCTCCAGCTTCAGGTTGAGACCCCCTGACTTCCCTCGGAGGGAGACTGGGACAAGCCCTTCCCAGTGCTGAGGGCAGAGACCCCCAGGCCTCCTGGGTCCTGGGGTGTAAGCATGCTCCAGGCTGAGCAGCCGTCTGGGGGCTGACGGGCTGATTATCAGCCTCAAGCCTGGGGAAAAGCCTGTAGGAGCAGGCCTCCTGGCTCTAGTGACACTGCCCTGGGCCCTGAGGGGGCACAGGGGGCAGGCTCCCAGGCCCTCAGGGAGGGGACAGGGCTGGGAGGGACATACCCCTCTCTCGTGCTGCCCAGCTGCAGGAAGCCCGAGAGGGACTGGATCCATTGCCAGCCAGTAGGAGTGCCTGTGGAGTCGGTGTTGTGCTTGGCTGTTATTTTTTATAAACCACTCTTGGAAATGCCTGGTGAGCTGTGTTCACTCGTAAAGGGGATGCGCCTCCCCAGGGGGCACCTTGTGGGAGCCCTCCAGGCCAGATGGCAGTGTTTCCTCTGGGACCCTGGGAATCCTCTAAGACTTGGGTTTTCAGGGAGTGTCCAAGTCAGCCTGGTTGAGGGCGGTGGGTGTGCCGGGGCCCTGGCGGGCACAGGCAGGAGGCTGCAGACAGCTGGGGCCCTTTGACCTCCGGCTGAGCGGTGCGGCCAACGTGTCCCCAGGAGAAAGCTGTCTCTCCTTGGCCATAGTTACCTCCACAGACATCGCTGCTCCAGCTCATTTTGGAGAGGGGGGAACTGAGACCCCAGAAGAGCCCAGACTCCCTCCGGGTAGCTAGAGCCCCACTCCCACCCACCCCGACCCTAGCTGGCCTGTGGCAGTGGGCCCAGGGGGTCTTTCCTCCCACCCTGGGCTGCAGGGTGGGTTTCTAACCCAATATGGCCAGACCTGACTCCCCAGGTAGAGGTGGTGGAGCTGGGGCAGCCCCGCAACGCAGGGCAACGGTAGGAACCTCCAATTATCTTGCGGGGGCATCATCGCCAGTGGCAGCTTCTCGTCCCAGGCCCCGCTCTGCTTCAGACTGCCCCCCCAATGGACACAGCAGCACCTCAAGTCTCATTTTTATTTGACAAAGACCAGGGGACAGGGGCCCCTCCCGGGAAGACAGCCCAGCTAGGCTGGGGACAGGGAGCCCTCGTACCTTCCCTCCGCTGTGGGGGACAGTGGGGCTCACTGGGTACTGCAAAGCCGGCGAGGTTATGGGCTTGGCCTGGGCTTAGCTCATCGGCCAGGGTGAGGGCCGGGTTGGCTGGGTTCACCCATAGGAGGGCCCCATCCTTGAGCCTGGCAGCCACTGCCCACATGGCTTACCAGCCAGGTGTGGGCTGCAGGCAGGCTGTCCAGTGCCTGGTGCTGGCAGCGGGGCAGGGCGGGTGGGGCTCAGTCCAGTCTGGGGCGAGGAGACACAGTCCCACGTGTTTTCTTCGTAGCCAGAGATGGGGCTGATTCTCAGGGGGCCTGGCCGGTCACAGGTCCTTTTTACAGGAGCCTATGCGGGGGGCGGGGGCGTGGCGCTGAGGTCAGAGGGCTCAGGGACTCGGGGCTCACCACCCCTCACTGCCTCCCAGCCCAATTCAGTGACCCACTCAGAGGTTCCCTCAATGGCCTGTGGCTACTCTCCCACCCTGTCCCCATCCAAGGCCCCACCCTGCCCTTATCCAGGGCCCTGAGGCAGCCCCAGACCCGGGTCTCAGGATGGCTGGGGTGCAGGGCAGGGGCAGGGCCGTGGCACTCACAGGCCCCCAGCTGCTCCTCCAGGAAGGAGATTTGCTCGCTCAGGGAGTCGATGCGCTCCAGCTGCCGGAATGAGTGGGCCAGGAGGCTGCCGGGGTCCGGGAGCCCAAGCTCTAGGGCCCGCGAGGCCAGGCTGTGCAGGGGGGCCAGCATCAGCTGTAGCTTCTGCAGGGAGGCAGAGGGCCCGGCTGGGGGAGGCAGGCCTGCGTCCCTGGTCCCCCCCGGGGCTTCCACACTGGGCAGTACACAGACACAGCTGTTGGCTGCGGGGCCCTGGACTTCCACTAGAGGGAGCTGCTGCGCAGAACGGCTCGGAGGCGGGTGGGCACCGAAGGAAGTTGGGTGGCCCCTGCCGGGTTGGATGGGCCCCCACGGCCTGCTACGGGCGAGGGGAGGCTGGAGGGCACCCCAGGCAGGCGCAGCCTCATGGACAAGTGTTGGGTGGGCTGGGACCAAGCTTGGCTTCTGTCCTGGGTGGGGGTCTCGGTCAGGGTCTAGCTGCCCCTCCCCTGCATGGAACCCAGACCAAGGTCCAGGGTCCCTTTGGGCTGTCGGTATCAAGACAGCCTCCTCCCCCTGCTGCTGTGCCCAGCAGCCACACCACCCCCTGAGGCAGGGCCACCCCACTGGACCCCCACCGCCACCCTGTGGGCCAAAGCACTGGCGGGTGCCACCAGGCCTGGGCCTCACCTGCTCCAGCACGGCCACCCTGGACCGTAAGCTTTGCACTTCCTGCTCCACCTCACGGTCCACGCCTAGGGGGATGTGGGTGCAGGTCAGCGAGGCCGGAGCCCCTGCCCAGGCCTCTCTCCCACCCTCGAGGCCGCTGGCCACTGCTCCAGGCATGGGGGAGGGCCTGCGCCCTGGGAGGCTCCTGAGCCCGGCCCGAGATCAGGGATTTGGCTGTCCACCGAGGGCACCTCAACGCCATCCTGAGCACAGCAGCCCGGCCCACCCGCCCAGCCCTCGTCGTGCCATCCGTCCAACAGGTGAGGTGGTGCGCGCCGCGTCGGTGCTGGGCTGCCGACCGCGCATTATTACTCACGGTACGAGTTTGACGTGTCACAGCGCGTACCAAAAGTAATAATGCCCCGTCGCCAGCAGGGGCCGGAGGTCGCGTCTCCCGGCAGCCGGACGGGAGGGGGCCCAGGACAGGGTCTTCTTCCACTGTCCTGGCTGAGCCAAGGCCCCGGCAACCCTCCCCACAATGCCGGGGAAAGAGCTTCCCCTGCCCAACCCTTCCATGCTGGTGAAGCATTCAGAATGTTCCAGATCAATCCTTTCAGCTCAAGACAGGCCTTCCATCCTGTCTTTTTTGACAGGGCAGCTGCTCTCACCCACCTGCCCCATAGAGCCCCATGGTGACGCAGCCCACCCCTCCATCCCCCACCAGCAAGGGGAGGGGTGAGCAAGAAGTTCACCTGGTGTGGGGCTGGGGACCACCGTGGGGGGCCCTGTCATGGGCAGGCAGAGCGTCCCGTCTGCGGACAGGCGGTGCCCCGCCCGGCATTGGCACCAGTAGCTGCCTGCAGTGTTGACACAGTGCTGGTGACAGCCGCCTCGTCCCCAGCGACACTCATCCACATCTGGAAGGCCGGGAACGGGTGTCAGGCAGGGGCCGCACCTGCAGGAGGCGGGGCCGCCCACACTCAGCCCCCTGAGGATCCTCCATTAGCGACTATCCCCTCTGACCAGCATTCTGCTCAGACACATGGGGCAGTGCCCAGAGGACCCTGCCCAGGCCCCTTACCCCCCACCTTTGGGCGGCGCTGGACTGGGTGGGCAGGGCTGGGCCGGCTTTACCTGTCTGGCAGGTATGCCCCTGCCACCCGGCAGGGCAGTGACATCGGCCTGGCTGGACACAGCTCCCTCCATTCTGGCATGGTGGCTGGCATATTGCTGTGGGTGAGGGAGGCTGTCACCCACTCAGGAGGCCCCAGGGCCCCGCGGAGACAGCGACTGGGGAGGGAGGTGTTGCATGGCAAGGAGGTGCTTTGCCGCTTAAGAAATGCAGTGGGTCCTTTGCCTGAAGTCTGGAGAAGGGATCACTTCATCACTGGGCTACTAGTTAGTTAACCAGTGCTGGGTGCTGCAGGGCCCAGAGATGCAGGGCCTCAGGGTCCGAGGGGTGCAGGGCCTCAGGGTCCGAGGGGTGCAGGGCCTTGGGCCCCAGGGGTGCAGGGTCTCAGTGCCTCAGGGGTGCAGGGCCTCAGAGCCCCAGGGGTTCAGGGCCTCAGAGTCCCAGGGGTACAGGGCCTCAGGGTCCCAGGGGTGCAGGGCCTCGGGCCCCAGGGGTGCAGGGCCTCAGGGTCCGAGGGGTGCAGGGCCTTGGGCCCCAGGGGTGCAGGGTCTCAGGGCCCCAGGGATGCAGGGCCTCAGGGTCCGAGGGGTGCAGGGCCTTGGGCCCCAGGGGTGCAGGGTCTCAGAGTTCCAGGGGTGCAGGGCCTCAGGGTCCCAGGGGTGCAGGGCCTCGGGCCCCAGGGGTGCAGGGCCTCGGGCCCCAGGGGTACAGGGCCTTGGGCAGCAGCCCTCACCTGCTCCACAGGCCCCGGGGAGCCCACTGGTCCTTTTCCAGCCGGGACAGCAGGCATAGCGCAGTCTGGCTGGGGCTGGCCCAGGACTGCGGCGGTAGGCAGTCCTGTAGATGATCCTGGGGAGGGGGTGCAGCTCAGAGGGCAGGACTCTCCCAGGCGTGGGGGCCTGGTGGCCTCTGTGGGTGCCACGCGTCTCCCCAGAAAGCGTGAGTATGGCACACTCACCCTCCCGCCTCCGGAAGCCGCCCAGAGCCCTCTCCTTAGGATGGGCCTCAGAGGACTCCTCCCCCAGGGACCGCGGAGACCCTTCCTCACCAAGGCTTCGTGGAGCTGGGGGGTGCTGAGGGTTGGCCAGGGCCCCAGTGCCTGCATGTGCTACCTCATGGGGCCTTCTACTACACGGACGGGGAGGGGGGACTGAGTCCAGGAGAAGGGGCTCACCAAGACCCCCAGCAGGCCAGGACAGGGGACACCGGGCTCTGCTCCTGCATCCCTACCCTGCCTCTTCCCTCCCTGAGCTCCAGGCCCCGGAGGCCATAGGCATCTCATGCTGGACGGGCTCAAGTGCCCCCTGGGAAACCTGAGGTGGAGGCTCCCAGGCATGACCCTGAGAGCTCCCCCGAGCACACTGTGGGGGGCTGGGCTGGCCTTCACCAGCCCCCAGCGATCCCAGGGAGATGTGGTCCCGAAGTCTCTGGGAACCAGGACCCCCCACCACACTGTCCCTGGCCTGCTGTGCTGCCTCTGTGCCCACCCACAGGCCCCCCTTCTCAGCCAAGGGGGCCTCAAAAGAAAACAATTTATCGAAGTCAAATTCCCGTGGCTCAGAACGGGGATGCTCGCCCTCCACGCTGGCGCAGCTGGGCCAACAGGACATCTAAGGGGGCAGGATGTCCACCTGCTACTGCTGGGGGCCGTCACGGGAGAGGGGTGCCCACTGCAGACCCAAGGGCAGGGCTGGGGTGACCGAGGCCAGTTCCTAGAGGCAGACCTCAGCCCCGTGGAGAGTGCACAGTCACAGATGCCCAGGGGGAGGGGACACCCTGTAACTGGATGGTCGTCCCCTCTGAAACAGGGGGAGCAGACTACGGGATGCCCTTCAGGGTTCCTTCCGAGTCAGAGAGGCCCTGTCTTAGGGTGCGGACACTCGAGGTTGTTAAGTGACCAAGGCAGGTGACCCTTTGGAGAGGTCAGCCCCTGCACTGGCTTCACTGGGACCTCGGTGAGCCTTCACCCCCTGGGCCTGGGCCGCTGAAGCCCGGCCGGGTGGGGGTGGTGCTGGTGGGCCCTGGCTGGCCCTCGGGCTGCGTGGGGGTGGGGTGGCGGGCCCTGGGTGGCCCTCGGGCCAGGGGCCGGCCGGTGGACGGCACTCACCGGTAGGTGCTGCAGGCCCGGTGCCCGTCGCAGGTGGTGAGGAAGGGCTGGTACACCCGCTGCACAAAGGACTCAGAAACCGCACCCCTGGGAGCCCCGACTGCGCACACTCTTCGGCTGCGGGACAGCCGGGGGTCAGTGAGGGACCCCCGAGCCAGGGCCCTCCCAGCCCCACCAAAGGGAGCCAAGAATATGAGGGAGGGGCTTCCCTTCCCATTGCCACCATGGGCAGGGCAGGACGCTCAGCAGAAGCCGAGAGGGCAGAGCCACATCTTCCCGCCGTCTGGGGGCAGCCTCGGGGAGGGGCTGTCCTGGGGAGGAGGGCTCTGCTCCTGGCCGCCCACCCTGTGCCCCAGCTCACCCGGGGCGGTAGACGTGGTCCGTGCCACCCGCGGCCAGCACCAGGAGCCACACCAGGAGCAGCTCCCGGGAGCCCCACGCGGCCATCTTGCTGGGGGGCCAGCCTTGTTCTTATGGTGGCCTGCAGCACAAAGCAATGTCTCCCTGAGTCCCAATGCAGACCCCCCACGCAGCACCCCCAGGGGCAGGTGCCACTCCCCCCGCCGCCACACCTTGCCAGCCAAGAGCCCTCTGGACTGGGGGGCCATGGAGGGGTGCTGATGCCCAGGCCCAGGCCAGAAGCAGGAAGCCGGCACCCCATGTTGGGGCAGGAGGCACCCGAACCCTGCTTGCAGAGCCCAGAGGCACTCGAGGAAGGTGGGGTGCAGGGCGAGCCCCTGGACCGGTTCCCCCTTGGGCTCAGGGCCCTCCAGCCCACCCCACAGGCACACGGGCTGTCAGCGAGGCGCACTGCTGGGCAGAGCCTTGGCCCTGCTGCCTGACCTGGACCTTCTGAGACTGTTTCCTCATCTGCCGAATAGGGACCACCCCTCCAGGGACTCCATCGGGGTCCGGGGCAGGTCCTGACCCGCCAGCGGGTGCTGTTACAGGGCGTGCACGTTTCCAGAGCGCGCTCTGCGTATGGGGGGCGGCTCATCCCCATGCTGGGCCGACGGGTCTCTGGTCTCTCAGGATGGCCACTCAGGGTCTGGGGGAAACTTAGGGGTGGGGGCACTGGGGCAGACTCCGGTACCGCTGGAACCAGGGCTGCCGGGAGGATTCCTGGAGATGTGAGGAACCCCAGCCTAGAATCAATGGGCTGCAAAATGCTGCGGGGACTTGGGGGTGGGGCTGTCTCCCTCGGCTCTGTCGGGGAGCTGCTGGCCCCCCCCATGTGTGCAGCCAGGGATTCAGGGAGCTAGTGAGACCCCATGCTCTAGGAGCCCCACCCACGGCCTTGCATAAGCACTTCGCAAAGTGTGGGTTCTCTCAGGTGTGTGGTCAGGCCCTGCAGGGCCCAAGCAGGAGAGGCCAGGTGGGGTCTCTGGTAATGTCCTCCCCTTCTCTGGAACCCAGTTTCTTCAAATGCACCACAGTGGTCTCAGAGCCCCTCCTCTGGCTCTGCCAGTCAGTCCCCTAAATAGTGACAACCACAACAGTGGCTGAGCCCAGCCCAGCTCCCGGGGACAGCCACAGCTCCCCGAGGACACGAGGACACGGGAGGCCAGGAGAGGTCACAGCACGGTGGGCGGGCTCTTACCCACTGCCTCACACTGTCCCTTGGGGGGAAGGGAAGGCAGCTGGAGAGGGTCCTTCTGCTGCAGCCTGTTCCCTGGCTGGACGGAGCAGGGGACGAGGTGGAGAGGGGAGGACAGGGGGTGGCCCGGCAGGCAGAGGCTGCAGTGGGCAGTTGAGGTGTGGGGACTTAGTCTGGGGGCATCTGGGCAGAAAGTCTGGGCAGACAGGCAGGTCCTGCTCACCAGAGCAGGAGATTAACTCGGAGGAGGGCACTGTTAGGAGTTCCAGGCAAGAATAGAAATGGTGGGGACAAGTGAACCTAGAGAGTAAGACCAGGGACAAATGAGGCACGGGGCTGGCATGGGGAGCCTGGGGCGGGCAGGGGCCCAGCGTGGACTCTAGCACTGCCAGGTTCAGACCCTTGCCTGCTCCATCAAGCCCCTGGGGGAATCAACCTCATGCAGATGTAACCGCCCAAATACTCATCCATAGCACCCCCGTAATTATTTAAAGCTGTCGAGAAAAGGAAACGTACTTTGAAAAAAAGACTCATTTCTGAAAGTCATGCCTTCCCCAGGCCAGGGAGCTGGCTGGTGCGGGCATCGGCCACGGGCATCGGCCAATCTCATTTCCCTTCGGGTTTCCAGCCCCCGCTGGCTGGGTGGGGAGTGCCTCCAGGATGATAAGCAGTAACCTCCCTATCCCCCCTGAGTGCCGCCAGTGGCCTTGCCCCCCCACCTGCCTGGCCTGCATCCCTGCAGTCCCCACCTAGGAGGCTGAGTGAATCCACAGCAGGGCAATGGCCTTGGAGGCCCCCTTTCCCACCAAGAGGGGGTGTTTGGGACGTTAGGGCCCACCGGGGGAGGAAGGGAAGGCAGAGTGCGACAGACAGCGAAGACAGACCGACTCACGGTGGATGCGCCCTCTCCATTGCCCGCCCCTCGCCCCTTCCCCGCACCCCCCGACACGACCGGTTCTCTAGGGGGCGGGAGTAGGGATGCGGGGTGAACCTCAGCCTGAGATTGTCCGGCTGCACTGCGGGTCCCGGGCCTCTGAGGCCCCAGTCAGGCACTAGGGATCCGCAGAACCCGGATCGGGGCGTGGGGGTGGGGCTGCGGCGCCCCCTCCGCCCCCTGCCAGAGCCCCCCGCGCGGCCGAACCTCGGGTCGCCCCGTCACCAGCAGGGGGAGCCCTTTCCCAAGGCCGCTGGGCCCATTCTCCGGACCAAGCCGCAGAATCGGGGGCTCTGGAGACGGTGAGGGGGGGGGGTCCCCGCGCGGCCAGGCCCCGCCTCCTGGAGGCCTGTGCTGCACAAGCGCGGGCGCCCCCGGCCCGCTCACCTCTCGGGTCCCCGCGATCGCTCAGCGTCGCCCCCGTGGGCGCCCCGCAGCTCCGCGGCCGGCGAGGTCCCCGACCGCCCCCTCCCTCGGGGGTTCTGCCCCCGCCCCCAGCACGAGCGGCGAGCAGACTCCCACCCTCCGC